TCATTTTAGAAGTTGTCAGAAGGCTGATGTTACCAGTGCAGGGTGATGGAGAATTGTATAATATGGGATACAGGCAAGTTCAGTGGGCCAGCTCATGCAGGGAAGCCTGGCCTCGCCCAGCACCGGGCCCTCCACTCTGCCTGATTCTTAGATTTTCTCTTTGGGAAGTTTTCTGCCTCATGCAGGCCGAGCACGGCCTATGCATCTTTCTGTAATAAGAAAAGGCATCCCCAAGTTGGAAGTAAGGCAAGAAAAGGTGTCGTTTCCTGTCATTGTCAACCTGGGACAGTTGGAAAGTGAGGAACTGAAGGATTTGTTAATTCTGCCTAGGAATATACCCAAGTTTGTCAGCCCAGATTTTCTAAAGCTGTGGGTGATGCTCATTTGTAGATTTTTGTCTGGTAGTGGACAAATGGCTTCTCTCTGGCAGAAAAGACCACATGCAGGTGCAAGTACCTATAACACATTGACCAGTTGTCTCCAATGTAGATATTTTGTCCTTGAGTCCCTTTCCCACATCTTCCAGTGGGCCAGCTTGTGAATGTTGCCTCTGTCTCTGCCTTGGGGCCACCCTCTGACCTGGCTTCCTTGGGTCTCATGAGTTCATACGGGTGTGGTTCATCTGAGCTTTGCATGGGTCTGCTTTCCCAGAAGAGCTTGAGGCATAAATTGTGAGCTAAATAGCTGCTTTTGAGCTTCTCCCGTCACCTCTCTGAACCTCAGCCTTCCTACTTGTGAAGTAGACACCACAGCACCCATCTACAAAGGAATACTCAAGGCTCTGTGGACCAACGAATCTCTGCTGTGATCCTAGCTACCAGGAGGCTAAGATCTGAGGATCATGATTCAAAACCAGCCTATAGCAAAAGCTGAAAGTGGTGCTGTGGTTCAAGTGGTAGCATGCTAGCCTTAAGCAAAAGATGCTTAAGGACAGCTCCAAGACCCTGAGTTCAAGCCCCAGGACTAGCAAAAAAAAAGAAAAGAAAAGAAAAGGGAATTTCAAGGGAGCCTTCTGATCTTAGACTGAAATCTCTAAAGCCAGGAGCCAAAATAAAAAACCTTTCCCCTTCCTTATGAAGGAATGAAAAGCTAGCTAGCACATGGTAGGCTTTCTCCTGTCTTGTCTTATAGACTGGATTGCAAAGGCAGGACAAAGGTTCTGGGAGTGGGGAGCTCAGGGTCTGGTTTGGAGGACAAGGCATGTGGGGGGTGGACCCTTGTGCAGGGCTCTCAAAGGTATTTGGCAGAACAGGAAGAATAGAAAATGTCCCTTAATGCCCATGTAATTGTAATCCCTCTGTACAGTATTTTCACAATAAAAAACTAAAATAAAATAAAAAAGAAAAGAAAATGTCCCTTAAAGGGTCATGCAAGACAGAGGGAAGAGGATTGAAAAGCCACACGAGGGGCTGAGCTCCCAAAGGTTGGCAAGAGGGAGCTCTTGGGGGCTAGAGAGGAAGGGAGGGCCTGAAGTCTTTCCTGTCATTTAATTCCTAAGTTGCACCCCATTTCACAGGCAAGAAGGCCAAGGGGTATAGGTGAAGCTGTTTGCCAAGGTTGCAGTACAGCTACCTCTTGCCTTCAGAATGGAGGGAGCAGAGGGTGGAGGTAGAGGGAGGAGGAGTGGAGAGGATGTGAAGACAGAAAGAGGGCTTGTCCTTGAGTTGTCCTTGGTCTTCATGTCCGGTGTGGCGCTTTGTCTCTCGGTGCCTCATGTGGTCACCAGGATGCTATCTTTTAGATGGACTCATCAGTACTCCCAGAATCCCTTACCTGGACCAGACACTGGGCTGGATTTGGGGATGGAAGATAAAGCATTGGCTTTTTTTTTTTTTAAAGAAACTGTCAGCCTGGGGCAAGCATCACGTTTGGGGAAGGTGAGGTAGCCCTGTTCTAAACAGTTGAGGTATAATTTGTGCATAGGAAGATGCCCAGACAGTTGCATGGGTGAGTTTCATTGGTCTGGCATCTGGAGACCTTCAAAAAACCACTTCTGGAGAGGAAAGGGGGTACAGCACATCTGCTCCCCATCAGGCTCCTTCTGCTCCTTGCCCCAAGGGTAGTGAACTGTCTCATCTGTCACCAAGGTTTGGCTGTATTGCTGGGGTTTTTGTTGTTGTTGTTGTTTGTGCTGGTCCCTGGGGCTTGAACTCAGGGACTAGGTTTTGACCCTGAGCTTTTGTGCTCAAAGCTAGCACTCTATTACTTGAGCCACAGCTCCATTTCCATTTTGGTGGTTAGTTGGAGATAAGAGTCTCACGGAGCCTGGAGCTAGTGGTTCACACCTGTAATCCTAGCTACTCAGGAGGCTGAGATCTGAGGGTTATGGTTCAAAGCCAGCCTGGGCAGAAAAGTCTATGAGACTCCTCCAATAAACCACTAGAAAACCAGAAGTAGCGCTGTGACTCAAGCGGTAGAGCAGTTGCCTTGAGCTGAAGAGCACAGGGACAGCGCCCAGGCCCAGAGTTCAAGCCCCATGACCGACAAAAAAAAAAAAGTCTCATGGACTTTTCTGCCGGGGTTGGCTTCTCAGCCTCCTGAGTAGTTAGGATGACAGGCATGAGCCACCCATGCTAGCGGGGTTCTTAGTAATGTGTTTTATTTCCTTTTTTTTTTTTAAAGCATTTTCAATGTCTTGTCTTCACCAAACAAAACAAGACCTTGGTAGAGCTATGATGCTATGTTGATTAGGGTGGAGGACCAGCAGCAACAGGCTGAGCCCTTGGAAGATTCCGAGTATCTCTGCCTGGATGGTGACCAGGCTGTCACTCTGACGCTTTCCTGATGAGACTATGTGGTATTTCTTGACTTTCGACGGTCAGATGCAATCTGAGCCCTTAAAATCCGTGCCCCTCATATGTATCCACCAACCCTCACCTCCCTAACCCCCATCCAGTGCCTGAGAGCACCCCTCCATCAGCATCTCTTCCTGGATAGAAGCCTTCGAATATGATTATTAATTTGTTGCCATTTCCTTATTCGATTTTGGGGTTATCACAGTAGCTACCTAAGATAAAGGGAAGTTGCTATTTATACGGAGGATTGGATATGCAGTATTGTAAAATTATGTATTTATGTAAATAAACCATGGTGGGATCTTGGCTGTCTGGAATATGCTAGGAGATGTGGTTTCCGAATCAGGCATTCTTTAGGGGGAATGGAGATTTTCCTGATCATCAGGTAACGCAGGCTCAGGGATTCTGGGCAGATCCTCACAGAAGGAGGGGTCATCTGCCCTGGGAAGACCTCCCTTTCCACCAGGGAGTTGCCCAATAAATGGCAAATGCTTGACTGATTTCTTGGTGGGCAGGAGAGCGCCACTTGGTGCCCATCCACTTTTGTATCACCTGCCAGCCTCCAGCCCTGGAGATTTGGCCTGCAGTTGAAAGAGGCTCAGGCACTGCATAAAATATATCTCCCAAGCCTCCTCGCCTGGAAGCGTAGTCTATCATTCTCTCCCTTCCTAGGAAATGTAAAGTATTTCCTCACCCACTCGGATAGATTCAGGCCTTGAGCACCCCATTCCTGGGAGCTGCACACATATTTCATAGACTGGACCTCAAGGGGGAGAGAGACAGAGGAGGGTCAGGGAGAGGAACGAGGACAGGGCCAAGCTGAGTTCTCAGTCACAGTCCAGGATGTAGCCTGGGATGAGGGTGACCTGCAGGAGACTCCTTGGCTCAGGTGGCAGGTCCCTGATCATGAGCCAAGCCAAGATTGCAGATGATTGCAAGTGGGCTTGGCTGGCTAGGTGACATGCTCTAGTGATGTTCAGGATTGAGGAGGAGGGCAGTGAGGGTCAGACCCCCTAATTACTAACCCAGGCTTGTGGGGACACTGGGAAATGACTTCTCTTCGTCTGTTACCTCATCTACACGCCCACCGGGAGTGAGACCGTCCATCTCACCTGGCAGCCAGGATGATGCGACGATTGAGCAAGTTAATGACTGTCCAACACTTTACTTCCCATGGCTCTCAGCAGCCAACATTCATTTGGTAGTCAGCGCCTACTTGAAATGTGATACCTATAAAATAGGGTCCAACCAGGTATCTGTGACTCACAACTATAATCCTAGCTACTCGGGAGACTGAGTAACTGAGTTGCTTTGAACTGAGAATTGTAGTTCAAAGCCAGGCCAGGCAGAAAAGTTCCTGAGACTCATTTTGTTAAACAGCAAAATGCCAAAAATAGTGGTAGAGCAAGTAGAGCACCAGCCTTGAGCAAAAAAAAAAAAAAAATCCAAGTGAGACTATAGGGCCCTGAGTTCAAGGCCCAGTACTCACAACCAAGACAAAACAAAAAACTAGTAACTGACCTCATTGAATGATAAGGGGTGAAGGACTCGGTCAATGTAAAGTGCTGGCAAACAGTAAGCACTATGTATATTGCTATGTTAATACACTAGGATTGCAGCATGATTATTGATTGTACTGATATTAATACTCTAATGCAAAGAAGGTAAAAACCAAGCATTTATTGAGCACCTACTACATTCATCCAGCAAGGGGTATTACAGGACAGGAATCAGATTCAGCGTTTGCTAGGGAAAGGCTCCAGGAAGAAGGGTCCGGGGAAACAGGCCAACCAATACTCAGGGAGCCTCCCTTGTGCCAGGCCTGGAGCTCAGCGCCCTGTATCCTGCCTTCATCCCTATAGGGGCGGGGAAGCACAACTGTCCCCATTGTACAGATGAGGGAGTCAAGTCTCAGGGGGTGATTTGTCCAAATGTCCACAACTACAAAGCAACAGAGCCAGACTCCAAACTTGGTGGTCCGTCTAGATTTACATCCCACCCCAAGCTAGGGAAAACAGAAGCTCCCTCTGGAGAGGGAGGGGCACTGCCAACTGTGTGCAAGGCCTGGGCACCTTGTCTCCCCCTTCCCCCACCCAACTCCTGGGACAGGCAGACCACAGCCTTCAAGAGGCCCCAGAACTTGATTCCCAAAAGACAAGAACACCCACAAACACACATACGCACACACACGCAGTACCCAATGACATCAGTTAACCCAGAAATCTTTATTACAAAAATATTTTGCAAGCCAAAAAGTTTTAAGTTGCAACTATATACAAAAATGGGGCCTATTTCCTTCCCAACAGTCTGAAAATAAACTCCTGAAACCACCCTCCTTCCGCAGGGTTGTTTCAACCTCTTCCTTTTCCTCTGGGGTTCCATAAGACAGAGATGTGGGGATCCTCCAGGCTGCCTGGCTGAAGCTAGAGCTAGCCACATTCCCTTATATCCCCCTCCAAAGAGCAAAAGAAAATGAAATGAAAATGGCACCAAGGAAACGTCCTTTTAAAATCGTGTGTGTGTGTGTGTGTGTGTGTGTGTGTGTGTCTCCAAACATGCATGTGCTGTCTGGGCCGAAGAGGAGGAAGGAGGTTTACAAACCAACACTTTGGAATTGGGGAACCAGCCCAAGCAGTGGCTGAGCCACTGTGGCTCAGATGTATGGGAGCTCAGGCTTGTCAGCTAGTGTTATCCACATGGCCTGTGGACTCAGCCCATTCCTGGATGCCACCCTGTAAAACACCAAGTGACCCATCCTAGACAGCTGTCCTGTTGAACTCTTGGGGTTCCCCCCCACCCCGGCCTCTGCCCCCATTACACCTGCAGAAAACAGACAGGATGGCTCAGCTTTTCGCTTGGAAGGCTCAAGCCAGGAGTTCCTCTGGCTTCCAGCAGCATCAGTGTCTGAATTCTAAGAGTTCTCCATGGAGGCTGAATGAGCAGGGTTGCAATGCTTGCTTGCCTGCACCCCATGAGGCTCAGCTGGAAGGATGAGGAAGGGGTCAGAGGGTAACTGGGTCACAGCCTCTGCCCAACCTTCCTGAGACAGAGGGACAGCGGGGGATACGTTCTGGCCCACCACTGGGCTATCTTGGCTGTGGCCAGCATGGGTTCCAGTTTAATTCCCATGGAGCTTGGGAGCACACACACACACAAAGGAAGCATCTTCCTGGGGAGGGGGGGGTCAGCTCAGAGGGAAAAGGGGTGTTCTTGCTCAAGGAGTTGGGCAGATGCCAGCTCAGTACCCCTCCCCTCCGCCTGTCCCTAAAGTGCTTGAGAGACAGTGGCCAGGGACATCAGGATTTCCCTCCCCTCTCCTCTTGGGGAAAAGAGCAGAGGGAGCTGAAGAAATGCACTTAGCATGGTGAGGCCTGCTGACCTTAGAAGGGAGCAAGACTAGCCCCGTGGCTCAGCCCAGAACAAGGCCAAGTTAGTCCCAGAGAGATGGCAGAGCCCCTCCATGGAGCTGCCCCAGAGAGATCCTCCTTCTTGTCCTAGAAGAACCCGGACTCAGTTTCGGTAGGAAATCCCCTCCAAGGTAAGAAACTGTTAAATCTCAGACTGCACAAGACCCAACCAGGAACTTCAACACATGACAAAGAGCCAAGATAACCAAGTTGTTGTTTTAAGGGGAGAAAAAAACAAAAACAAAAACCAAAAAAAAAAAAAAACCAAGAAATTTAAAAAAAAAACCCAAAACATAACACCACAGATCAAGTTTTCTAACACCTTGGCTTCAAGATTGCACAGTTCACATTTCTCAATAATTTACAGGCGTCCACAGCGTGCTGCTGTTAGTGCTAGCTGGAGGAAGCAAGCTCGGGTCTAGAAAGGAGATGCGGGAGCACCCCAGATGGGTTTGATGGTTGTCCCAGGAGTCACTGCTGGCCCCGAGGAACAAGAGCGAGTCCCCCGCCTCCTCCAGAGCTTGTGGCTCATCAGCCCAGGGAAGGGGGGGGGTACACCAGGGTTGTTAATAGCAACCTCACCAGGTCTCCGATTGCAGGTCTTAAGGGTCTTTTTTTCCAGCTTCTCCATGGATGGGACAGTTTGATCTAAAGGGCAATGTTCCCAAAGCCCCCAGTTGGGTGAAGGTGGTGGGCAGGAAGTGAGATCATCTTCCCTCCTCACCTGGAAGATCAGGCTCATGGAACATCAAAGGAGGTAGCCCTGGGGTCTCTCGACAACCACGACCCAGACCTGTGCTGGAGGTGGACAGAGGCAGGACAGTCCTTGGACTCTCGAGAAGTGCTGGCCAGGTCCTCGGCTGGTTGGATGATCTCCTCCTTCAGAGGTGGGGCCAAGATGGAGGAGGCATGAGCTGGAAATGCTGGAGAGCCAAGGGGGGTAGATGGACAGGCAGATAAGAACCATCCCCATTCCTGGTCCTAGGGCCTTCTGGAAATGGGGCTGGCTGTCCTCATCATGGCCGCTCCATGTGGGGCACAAGAAAGCTTGTGGGGCCAGACCCTAGAGCCGACGGGCATCTTGTTCACTTCCTCTGGACCTGGACACTAGCATACTCTGAGAAGGACGGCTCGGGCTTGGGGGCTGGCGGTTTGGGGGCCCGGTTGAGGTGGACCATGTCCAGGTCTGCGTAGGTGAGGGTGTCCTCCGACTTGGGCGGGGGGCCGCTCTGAATGCTGGCATACTCTGTGTGATTGTTTGGCTCAGCAGCCCGGGGGGCCGGCTTCTTCTCCTTGGGCAGGTTCAGGTCCGCATAAGTGATATCATTGATGTCATTGGTGTCCTGGATCTGAAAGACATCGCTGGAGGTCACTTTGGAGCTCTCAGCCCACTCACCCACCAACCGAGCACCAGGTCTGGATGCTTCCGTCCCTCCAGTTGTCAGAGGCTCAGCCCTAGTGCAAATCCCTCTAGTCTTGATAAGGAAAAACCACCTCTAGCCTTCCCCCTTTCACCCCACCTCCCTCCTCCCACAGCCTAAGGGATCTTCCTGAAATGCCCATAGAGTCACCTCTAAACCGTGGAACTGGGGTTCCTTTCCATGCCCACCCACCTGCCTGGTACATGCACCCTCCTCCTCGTAGTAGGTATGTATCTTCCATGCACATCTCAGCCCCAGCATTTCTCCACCCTGAGATGCTTCCCTGACCGCATGTCCTTGGCCCAGGGCTCAGCCTCCACGTTCCCCGGCCCCACTCCCTGCATCAGTGTCACCACCAAGACTGTGTCTGTTTTGTGCCCTGAGTATATGTGATCTCCCGGGGAGTGGAGATACTCATTCATGTATATATGTACTCAACACATATTTGCTGGGTATTTCCTATGATGCAAATATCAAGAACTGGCACAGAAGCCCGATCTATTGGAATGGAGGGGAAGGAGGGAGGAATAGATGGTTGGATGGGTAGATCAATAACTGGATGGATGGATGAGTAATTGGATGATGGATGGGTGAGTGGCCGTATTGGGGAATGGATGGATGGATAAACGATATGGCAGTAATTCTAACTCCACTCTGGGTGAAGCTGGAGCCTGGGAGACAGAACAAAAGCAGTGTGGGAATGACGTCTCCCATCAGTGATCCAAAAGGCCTGGATTTCAATCCCAATTTTGCTTTGCCTAGCTGGGGGCCTTTGGGTAATCCATTACAACTTTCTAGGCCCCAGTTTTCCCAGCTGAAAAGTAGAGACACATAAGTAGTATCTTCAGCCAAGCACCAGTGGCTCACACCTATAATCCTAGCTACTCAGGAGGCTAAGATCTGAGGAATGAGGTTTAAAGCCAGCCCAGGCAGGAAGGTCCATGAAACTCTTATTTCCAATAAACTCAAAAACAAAAGCCAAAAATGAAGCTTCAGCTCAAGTGGTAGACACACACACACACACACACACACACACACACACACACACACACACACACACACACACACACACACACACACACAGCGCTATCTTCTTCACTGTCATCCTTTCCTTCAGAAAGCTTCTAAGGGAAGTCCAAAGGTAAAATGACTACTGAGAAAGTTTCTCTCTTGCCACACCTGGCAACTGTCTTGTATTTGCTAATTGCCATCCAGGTTTGTGTCCAGGATTGCTGGGCAATCCCGGGGGACGAAGAGGGGGGCGAAAGAGCAGGCCATGGTGTCTAGCGTATGAGCACCATGCCTCTCATAGCACAGCTCCTTGGACAGATCACATCTAAGACAATGCCAACTGCCTGGGAAATAAACAAGGGCAGCTGGCATTGTCTCAGTCAGGGTGTAGAGCAGGGCCTATCTCATTACAAGTGCTAAGGAGCCCAGAGCCTTTGGGGTCTGACAGCGTACATTGGTGACAGTCAGGGCTTCAGCAATGTGCTGGGAAGAAGCTGCCAGGTCAAGGGCAGGTGCCCCCAGGTGGGGTAATTAATAACATGTTGTCTTTCCATCAGCAAAGGCCAGAGAGGTCCTGGCAGGTTGCAGTGTGCTGCTTTTCCTAGTGAGAGCCAGGCTGCAGGAGGAGGAAATAAAATACTGTGGTTGGAGGAACTGGCTTGAGCAAAGGCTGGGTGGCAGGAAGGTAAAATCCACAAGTGGAGACTGAAACCAGACTTCCAAGCACACTGACACAGGCCGTACTATGACCGCTGTCCCCTGGAGTTGTGCAAAGGGGCAGCCATGATGCAAGAAGGATGCAACCAAGTCTGCAGGCTGGAACACCACCACAGAATTAGAGGAACTTGGGGAGGTACAGATAGATCTGCCCTTCCCTCATCAGGGGCAGGTCTTAATTTAGAACCGGATCTTCAGCTTTGCCTGATGTAAGGAAATCACACCCGGAGTTTACCAGGAAGGGCGGCTCACCAAGGACTGTACCTGGGTTATTTCTCTGGCATTCTTCTCTGGCTCATGCAACCTAAAAAGGAAAGAGACGTACAGATAAAAATAACCGGGCTCTATCTCAAGCGCTCATGCAAATCGATAAGAATAACATTTAGGTTCCACTTCCTATATTGAAAGGAAGGCAGGGATGAATGAATCATACAGACCTAAGCAGCGTATCCAATGTTTGGACATGAGGGCCAACCTCACAAACAAGTAATTTTCAACAAGGCACTGGCGCTGTGTGTGTGTGTGTGTGTGTGTGTTTAAAAAAAAATTGTTGGCCTGAGTCTCCGAGTAAGCTATTACTCAGAGAAGGAGTGGGGGGAGACAGGTGGGTATTCTCCTACACTGCTAATAGGAGAGGCAGCCAGGGCAGCCCTTGGGGAAACCCTTCCTATTTTAACTCACAATTCTACTTTCTTGGGGGAGGAGGCTATTACATATGGGGGGGAGGCTCTCTGCCAAAAGGTAAGGTGGAAGAGAGAAGAACTTGTCAACTGGGACCAGTTTAGGAAATAAGGATAAATCTAGATGTTGAATTTTTTTTCTTTAATTTTTAAGCTTTTAGATTGTAACTTATAATCATGCCTGGAAGCTTAGCTACTCAGGAGGCTGAGTCCTAGAGGATCAGGGTTGGAAGGCAACCTGGGCAGAAAAGTTCTGGAGACTCCATCTCTAAAAAAAATTAGCAGCAAAAAGAAAACCAGACTGGAGGCATGGCTCAAGTGGGAGAGCACCAGCCAAGCAAGCAAGGGGAGGCCTGGGAGCTCAAACCCCAGTATTACATAAATAAATAACTAGATGAAAGTAAATTAACTGAATGAAATTACAAGGTATAAGAGGAGGGCTTCTTTATTTTTGTTATTAGTGTTAGGGATCAGAGCCAGGGCCTCCTACCTGCTAGTCAAAGGTTCTACCACAGAGCTACACCTCCAACCCCATCAGATGTATATGATAAGTTACAAACGATCACATTGGAATGGTCAGGGCAAGAGCTTAAGGCTGTGGGATAATCTCTATGATGACAAATGTACGATTAACCCTGGGAGGAAAATGCTAACAGCAGGGATCTTTATAGATTATTTTTCTTCCTTTTAGTTCCCTATGTTTTCCAAATGTTCTGTATTATAAATATCTATGTATTACTGGGTTTTGTTTTTTTTTTTAAAGAGGAGAGGGAGAGAGATGTTCTGATTAATCAAAAAAGCTGTTCATGCACTTGATTCTGTAATTGGAGGCTGGGTCACGGTCAAGGTGATGAGCAAGTCAGCCACTGCCCCGGGTTGGGCAGCAGTTTGTGTAAATTCTCAAGCCAGCAGCTCCGGGCACGTGAGCCTGGATAATGTCAGACATGAGCACTGGGGCTTGGCAGTGGGGTTATTAATGGAGTTGGCTTGAGGACTTGGCTCACAGGCAATTCTGGGGCATGACAGGGCCCCACGTGGCCCAGAAACAGCTTGCTAGGATCACAGAGATCAGGCAAGTCTCGCCCCACCCCTCCAACTTGAACACCTCTGTGGACCCCCACTGCCGATCCCCTTCAGGTTCAACTCACCCAGTGGAGTGCTGGGTAAACTCCCCTACTGGGCCCATTCATTCTCTCACTCTCGTTTACCCTGTACTGACCATTTCTTGAGGGCTTCTTGATTCTTCACACTCGGTGCTTTCTGACCCCCTTATTCCTGGTGAACTTTCGGGCATCCTGCAAGACTATTCTGATGTTGCTTCCTCCAGAGGTTTCGCTAATGGTGGGCTGGGCTGCCTCTCCCTCACCACCTCCTTGTATCATCTCTGCTTTAGGCTGCTGTCTTGTCACAATAGTCAAGGCTGCCCAACAGACTTGGAATGAATGGCGGTCAGGTCCCAGGACCTTTGCATACTCAATGCTCTTACCTTGTCATCACCTGTCTTACTCTTCTTCCTCCTCTAAGTCCTAGTTTAAACATCCCATTTTAGGGGAAACCGTCCCCAAACCACCAAACTCCATTTTAAGCAGATCCAGTCATCTCTTTCAAACCATTATTTCACATTGTAAACAATTATCCGGTTTCTTGAGTCCATTTTTCCCCTGGTCTTTCTACCTCAGTGAATGGGACCACCAGTGTTCATACCAGGCTCAGGTTAGAGGTTGCAGTATCCCCGATTCTCTCCTCCTTTACAATCCAGGTCTAACCAATCACAAGGCCAACCGGCTACTTCTAAAATCTATACATCGGATTTAGCCATTCTGTCACATCATTTCCCATATCCTGGCTTCCTGGGCTGCTGGGGCGGGGGGGTGGGTAGGGGCTGTTTCCCATTCACTATTATTAAGAGGCATATATGCAAGCCAGGTATGGTGGTACATGCTTGTAATCCCAGCTATTTGGGAAGTAAAAACACAAGAATCATCATTTGAGGCCAGCACAGGCAAAAAAAAAAAAAAAAAAAATCAGCAAGACTCCATCTCAAAAACAAACTAAAAGCAAAAGGACCGAGGATTCAGCTCTAAAAAAAGAAAAAAAAATTTGCATCGACGACGTCACATTGTTTCTTTGCTCAAAACACTCATGGTACTCCCCTGCATCACAGTGACAGCAGGGCTCTGCTTTCTGCCTGCCTTCCTCCCTTCCTCTCTCCCTCCCTCCTTCCCTCCACCCCAGCAACTCAGGCCTCCTTCACGCTCCATAAACATGTCCAAGGCCTCAGGGCCTTGGCACTGACCGCTCCCTCTGTCTGGCCTAACTCCTGCCCCAGATGGACCCACAACTGATGCTCTCCATCCTTCAGCTGTCTTCTGAACATCACCTCCTTGGAGGAGCCTTCCCTGCTTGCCCCTAAGTCTCACCTCTGAGCTCGGCTCCATCCCTTGCCTGCCTTCATCTCATCTCCTCGGGCCCTGCAGCACTGTGGTGTCTGATAAGCTGAGAGACTGTGCACGCGCCCTGTGCAGAGTGACCGTGAAGCCACTACGCTAGTGCTGGGCTGACATACAACTGGCACTCCATAAATATTTATTTGTTGAATGAATACTGAGCATTTCTCCTATTCTGTGCCAAGGACCAAAAGGCCAGGCTTAGCATCTCCCCTACCTCCTTCTGTCAGCCCCCAGCTCAAATCTGGCACAGAGCTGGGCTCCATCCAAAGGAGTAAGCGAGGGAATCAGGAAAGCACTCATAGTCTAAGAATAAACGTAGTGATTGTGTGATAAGCGAACAAACGGCCACCCGAATGAACCCCAGTGCCCAATTAATGCAGCTGCCATGCTTTCTCTCGACTGAGCCAGGAAGGGTGGTGGGCGGTGATCTGCCAGTTATTCCTAACCAGGGAGTTAGGAGAGCGGGGTCCCTGTAGGGTCTCTGTGCTCAAAAGCAGCAGCCGTCTCCCCAGACACCTACCCCGAGGGGCCAGGTTGTCCCCTAAACCAACATCCTCGGAAAAGCGTCTGATCTCAGCAAGCCAGGCCGGAGCCGAGGCTGCACGCAAAGCCATCACGGCTTGCCAGCGACAGCTTTGGTTTCGAGAGATGAAAGGAGCGAGTGATCTCTCATGGCTCCCTGGGTAGCTCACGCTGGAAAAATATGAAACAGCCAGAAAACGGTTGGCTCCTCTGGGGAGACAGGAACAGGAGGCAGGAGGCCCCGGAGCCGGGATGCAGAGCACCAGGGTTAATGCCAGCACGGGGCGGGGGTGTGGGGGGGAGACTCAGGCAATGGAACATGACTTCTCTGAGCCTTGGTCACTTCCATCATATGATGGGGACATTAACATCCTTCTAGAATGAGGGCTCTGGAACTACAGCTTGGACTAGCAGCCCCTAAGACCTAAGACAGGTGTAGAACCGGTGTGTGTATGGGGGGGGGCCTGACTGCAGCTGATGTGCAAACACCATCCCCTCCTCTCCCACCCCCATCCACAGCAGTACTTCCGCACACGCAGGTCTGGAACCACTGTCCTGTAAGAAGTCTCAGAGTTTCTGAGAAGTCAGATCACAAATGGATACCTGCATAAAGGGGCAGATGGATGCATAGGACATAGCAAATGATCAGTGAACAGCCGGTGAAGGCTGTTGGTCACTTCCCTTATGGACCCTTGTCCCTTTCATCCAGAAACTCACCATGTAACTTGGACAGGTAAGATGAGTGAAATATACAGACAATGAAGACAGAGTGGGTGATGAAGATGGGCGTGATGGGGAAGAGCTCAGAGGCTATGGAGATCTTAGCTGCAGCAGTCAGTCTGGTTACTTGTTCATTCAACAAACCTTGGCTGAGCACCCAATGGGAACATGAGGGACATAGGGGCTAAGTAGGGGACAGATACAGAGTCACCATGAATGCACTGGATATCAGGACCAGCCCAGAGGAGGCTCCCAGGAAGTTGCTTAGCCTGGTGAAGAGGCCATGCCCTCCTGCCAAGCTCAGAAGAGCAGGCGGTGATCATGTTGCCTGTACAGTTCCTACAGCCTGCTATGTCCTCAGAGAGGACACAAGTGTGTGCAAAGGGGTTTACCTTAGGAGAGGCCACTCACTGTCCAAGAGCCAGGAGGAGCTAGGCACTGGTGGCTCACACCTGTAGTCCTTAGCTACGCAGGAGGCTGAGATCTCAGGATTGTCTCAGTTCAAAACCAGCTCTTTATCTCCAATATACCACCAGAAAACTGGAAATGGAGCTGTGGCTCAAAGCGGTAGAGCACTAACCTTGAGTAGAACAGCTCAGGGACAGTGCCCAAGCCATGAGTTCAAGCCCTACAACAGACTGAAAACAAACAAAAGAGCCAGGAGGAGAATGAGGATCCTGCGAATGGAAGGACACAGCAGATATCATCCACCTAATGAGAAGACCACAGGATGGCCAGAACTGATGGTCCAAGCCAGAAGGAGGCAGGCCAAAGTCCTGGAGACACTGAGGCCTTTGGGCAGAGGATGGAGAGGAGTCTTGTCCCCAGAAAGGAGGAGCAGGTAGATGCTGCTTGTTCTGGGGAGAAGGCAGCCAGGAGGGTGGCCCAGAAAGTGGCCTGTAGAGGCCAGGCAGAGGTAGAGCTGCATCCCAAGGGCAGTGGGTGCCCTTTCTCCCTTGCTGGCAGGGTGGGCACACAAGCTCCCTAGAGCCTCTGGGGTAGTGGAGACGCTCTTGCTATATGCAACCTGGGAGTCTAGTAGTTCCTCCATCCCAACGCCCACAGTTCCCTAACTAGGGTACAGTTATCCCCTCCCTCCACCCCCACCCCTGAGTTGAGGCTGACTCTACATCAATCCATCAGCAAACCCTTTTTGCTCTCCAAGACACTTCCCGAATCTGACCATCTGTCAGCTTCCTCTGCTTGGACCACAGCAGCAGCCTTTCCACGGGCCTCTCTGCCTCCACCTTCACCACCTACATCCAGATTTCCACTTACAGATAGGGTGAGAAGAAAAGTAGGACCACAAGCCAGGCACTGGTGGTTCAAGTCTTTAATCCCAACTACTCAGGAGCCTGAGATCTGAGGATCACAGTTCAAAGCCAGCCTGGTCAGGAAGGTCCGTGAGACTCTCATCTCCAATTAACCACCAGAAAACCAGAAGTGGAGCTGTGGCTCAAAGTGGCAGAGTGCTAGCCTTGGGCAGAAAAGCTCAGGGACAGTGCCCAGGCCCTGAGTTCAAGCCCCACAACCAACAAGAAAAAAGTAGGACCACATTCTGCCTATGATTTATCACACACCCCTTCTCAAAGTCCTTCTTGCAGCCACAGGCCCTGGACTACTGTCTCCCATTCTAAGGTCACGCAGCTGTTCTGCAATTCTGAAATCCAGGATGCTTAAAAAGCAACCAATAAACACACACAGAAGTATCTGCAGTCATGGGGCAGTAAAACCCTGCCGGCCCCCACAGGAGGCTGTTTGATCTTATCAGTCACAGTGGTAGGGCGTATGGAAGCACACAGCACACACTTCCACACAGCACATTCACCGGTGGACCCGTATCCGGTTAGGCTGGGTGGAGGCTCCTTCCTAGCAAGCCAACGAGGCCTCTTACTAAGAGGCTGCAGTATATGGGGCTGCTACTAAGAGCCCAGGACCTGCTCCCCTGCCCGCTGTCCCCCTGCCCGGCCACAGAGGCCTCCTGTTACATCCCACAGCATGACCCTGGCCCTCCCTGCCTGCTCTCCTGCTCCTGAAGCTGCCCTTTGTCACAGCCTCAGTTCCACAGCTAGAGGATCTGCTCACACCCCCTCTTCAGGCAGCCGCTCACTCTGCCTATGACCTCTAAAACCTCTCCCCCTTCCCCCCTCCCCCACCATGGTAGACCTCCACCTTCATGCTATAGCAGACCATCATCTAACAGAACTGGCTAGATCATTTCACATCCATGTTTACCACGTGTGCCCCTCCTCCCCACATCTCAGTCCCACGACAGCCTGGGCTCATTCTGGTTCACAGACCTATCCCCAGCACACGCGACAGTGACACATAGTAGTGACTCTGCAACAAATCACTGCCGATGGGAATCCACACACAGATGTGCCCTCTCTGTGACAGTGTCAGCCCCAGAGCCCCTGGCCAGGCTGTGAATTTCAGGGGGGCTCGACGTGACTCCATCACCCTAGCGTTCTCCCAGCCACGCCCACTGGGGTGCTCAGCCGACAGCCGCTGAAGAAAGGTAAGAGAGACGCCCACTAGAGCCTGCACACAGGTGTACACAAGCGCCACAGTCCACGCAGGATTACAAACCAATGCGAAGAGGTTACAAAAGCCAACAGGATATGGACAGGCACCTGAGTGACAGTCAAGTGACAAAATGTGGCTTTGGGGACCACAAAAAAACCCCAAAAACAAACACCTGTGCCCCCCCCCATTCCCCCCCCGCCCCAGTGATGCACTTACCTCGTGGAAGAAGTAGAGCCCTTGGCTAGAAGAGAAAAGAAAACGTTAGTTAATCACAGTTGGTTCACGTAAGTATTTTCTGGGGAAGGGGGTGGGGCGGCAAAGGTTTGCCAGCAGGGCTGTGGTGAATTCCTTCCTTGAACCTGGACAAACCACCTCCCCCTCCATGCCCAGCCAATGGGTGGTCCTCTCTCTTCCAGGAAGCAAGAGGCAGTGGAGGAAGTCAGGCCCTCCCATGTTTTTGGAGATGTCCACAGCCCCCAAACAGCTTTCAACCTTGGATGGGTCCAGGCTGAACCTTACCTGTGCTTGAGCAGAAACCTCTAGAGACAAGCCCACAGCAGGAGATGGGGAGCAGGTGTGACCCCCAGGCTGGCCACCCATGCACTTTGCTATGTGACCCAGGGTAGGACCCTTCCCCTCTCTGAGCTTCTTAAAACTCCTAAGATGGGCCTGCACATCCATTTATGTACACGTCACCATGTTGCCAGACAGCAAGCGTCCGCTTGGCACAGAGGTTTTCAGCCTGTGATACGGGGTAACCCACAGAGCAGGCTCGGAGGCTCCGCAGCCATCTGACTCCCATTTTACAGTAAATTTGTAATTAAAAAGCAACACGCGTGCTCAAATGTGCCTGGCGCCACACTCCAACAGGCTGGAGGCTGCCCTGGTGCGGGAGCTCCAGCAGCCTGGGTAAGCAGGCTGGGGCCTGGGTAGGGCCTGGCTGTGGGAGTGAGCTGGGGTGGGGGGCAGGGGGAAGGCTGTCCCTCAGCACCCCACATCCACATGGAGGCCCAGGAGTCCAGATACTGAGTCACACATCATCTCAAGGGCAGGGACGGGATGGGGGCGGGTCCTCATTTCATACCAGAGACTAGTGTCTCCCCAGACTTAACGTTGTCAAGTGTTAGGGTTGAGATGGGGATAGCCCTCCCCCCACACACAAGTGAGGTGGAGGCGGGGCCCCCCAGGGTCCAGGGGGTCCCACCATGGCTCATGGCTTTGAATCCTAGCTTCATCTACCAGCTGTCAGGCCCCAACAGGTTTTGGATTGTTCCCAGGCCTCTGTTGCCTCGTGTGTAGATTGGGTCAGTAAATCCTTCCCCTTCCCCAGGAAGGACAGAACCTGGGGTTGGGGGCAGAGGAGGAAGAGGGGTACAGAAACAAAGCATGACATGTTCAACCAGCCCGGGCCCACACACAGAATGGCTCAGGGCCATGGCGTGGCTCATGGGGGAGAAGGGGCGTCACAACCAGCATTTTTAATAGGAAAAAAAAACCAGGATCTGACCGAAAAAAGAAAATACCAGTTTCATTTTTATATAAAGGGTTGTGTTGGGTTGAGACGTGAAATGTTATTTCTATGGTTTGTGGTTTAAAAAAAAAAAAAAGGTCTTGGAAATATCAATTTAAAATTGCCTCCTGAGAGCGTGAGGAAGGAAACCTGCAGAATGAGGCTCTAGAGTGTGTGACAGTAAACTTGAGCCTTGGAACTACCCTCCGAGACAGACAAGGCTGTACCCATCTTACAGATGAGGAAACCAAGGTGAGAGACGCAGAACTGTGTAGAGTAGATGCCAAGGACCTGGAGACTCGCTGCCAGAAACGAGGGAGAGATTGTGACTTCAGGAGCCTGTGCTGTGAGCCAGGCTCCTCCCTAACCTCACATCCTCCATCCATCCCATTGGCCCAGCCTTGGAGACGGCTGGGAGTACTCACTCTGCCTCTGTCTGGTCTCCTACCCAGGGCAAGCATGGTACCCAGCCAGGTAAGAGGAAAGCAGGGCTCTGCCAGGCAGCTCCTGGGAATGACTGTCCTCTCTGAGTCCCCTCTCGCCACCCTGGCAGCCCTCTGCTCTCATCTCCTATGAGGTTGTGAGACCTGGGGCAGTGACAGCCATGTCTGTAGCCATGAGGAGAAGCGGTGAGGAACCCTCCCAACTCCAACATGGTGAAGCTACTGCACCAGTCACTGGCTTTGCATTTCTTATCCCTAGAAGTCACCAACACCCCTAGAGTACCCAGTGGCCACATCTTCCAGGAAGGACAGACGAGAGCAAACTCTGAGGAAGGAAGAGGGGACTCCACCTACCTTTCTTCTGTTTGATTCGGAGGAGGTAGAGGACTGCCATCAGCAGGACCACCAACAGGGCACACACCACACCCACCACGATGAAGATATTCCAGCTATTTGTGCCATCTGAAGATCACACAGAAGAGAACCTTCACCGGTACAGATAAGAAATGGGGAAAAACAGAAGCCCACTGCCCTTTCTTACTACACAGGCACTGCTGGCCAAGAAGCTGGGTCTCCTGAGACATCAGGAGCCACCTGGGCCTCTCAGTGAAGACTGGCATACACTCACCTACATGGGTCATCCATGATGGTACAAATGCTATACCTAGGGGGCCACCAGGGAAAATACTGCTAATGGCAGCCCCTGAAGGAAGCCCCAACTTCCTCTCCTGAGGAGCAGAGATCTGTCCGCCCCCCACCTCCATCTGAAATGACCTATGCTGGGCAGCCACAGCTGGAGCCTAGATTCCCCTGACACTCTTGAATCAGCAGCTGACTATCCTTGGCCGGGATGGGGGAGGGGTCCTCTGTAGAGCAACCTGGGCTGGCCACTCATCTGTGTCCTGGGCCTACACCACAGCCTAGGAGCTCTGAGTCAGGTCACCAGAGACAGTCAGTGGCTGGGGCAGGCAGGTGGGTTCAGGGCCCAAGCAGAAGGTTCTAGTCTAGAACATAGCAGGAAGTCAGTAGGGCTCTGTACCATGGAAACACAGGTTCAAATGAACACCCAAACACATTTGTTTCACGGGCTCCACAAGTAAGCTGAACCCTCTTGGCTTCCCCCTGCTCAGGAAACCAATAATCATCTCCACCTGAGTGGAAAGTTATAAGAATCATCCAAGAAACCAGCTGCCCACTGACTCCTGTGCCCTCTCTTGAAAGACTGGAGGGCCTACTGTGTACCCTAAAGCTAAAGGAGCAAGGGGAGGCTCAGAGAGAGCACTGATTGATCCAAGGTCACACAGCAAGTCAGTGACAGAATCACAGTGGACACGCATGCGTCCCTCACCCAGCGCTGTGTGTGCTATGAAATTTGGGTACTGGGGACATCAAGGTACATCTGACATGATTCGGAGGACACTATGTGGGGCTTCACAAAGAATGTATGAAGACATAATTCTAATCCATTCAAAGGCTTTGCTATGGACAATTCATCAGCCATGGTGGTGACAGGTGCTAGAACATTCCACTGAAAAGCCACCAAGGTGCAGTGCTTTTCAAGGACAAGATGGGAACCAATAAGCCATGAAAAGAGGGCTGAGAAAACGCCACCCTGACACTGACACAATATGACCCTTATCCTAAACCACTGTGCCCTTGGCCTACAAACGCACCTCTAGAAATGGTCTCCAAGGGACCGTCACACACAAGACAGAGCACATGCAAGGAGAGCCAGTGAACCACTGAGTGGCCTGCTCCACTCCCGAGGGCAGAGGGTACCGAGTGAGGGCAGAACAGGAGAGCCATGCAGGACGGACGTAACAACTGTCAGATGAAGGAGGCACAAGGATCCAACTCCCTCTCTCCTTCAAAATATGTTTATGTCCAAAGATCCACGGAGCCATGCTAGTGCCAAACTGCACCAAACTCCTACAGTGCCACTCGGTGTGTGAACTGACTTTAAAACTCAATGTTCTAGACTTCTAGATTCATCTACAATCAACACTATACACTACTTGGAACATTTAAACATGTTAAATGGAAATAACATCGAGTGAAACATTCTAGGAGCCGGTCCTCTGCTGTGGAGGGCTCACCAGGGGTTGTTTCTGCGCCCTGCTCCTTTTGCTGGGCAGAGGCCTCCAGGGTGAGGTTGGCAGTGATGGCGGGCTGGCCCTCGTGCTCCACCTGGCAGGTGAGCACCACGTTCTCCCTGTGAGCAGAGACGTTCACCAGCAGCCAGCTCGTCTGGTTGTAAGTCCCATCCTTGTTCTCGGTGCGGGCCCAGCTGGTGTCTGTCCGCGATAGGTTTCCATTCTCCATCCAGGTCACCTGGAGGCTTGAAGGGTAGAACTTGGACGCCAGGCACGTGACATTCACCTGGTTCCCTGCCATCATGGGCTGCTGGCTGACCTCCAAGGTGGGCGGCACTAAAACAGCACAGGCAGAGTCTCTGACCTTGTGGCTCAGAGACCCAAGAGGAAGGGCTGGAGTGCTAAGCCTCCACATCAGGGCACAGGTATCACATGGGACAGCGCTGGGCACTGGGTATGTGCTCCAATACTGAAGGGATGGACGTGGACATAATCACTAAGCACAGTAAGCCCTCAAGTACTCAGGGCTGTTGTTAAATGAATAATAAGTGAAACCAACACATGCAGGCCTGGCATGCAGACAGATGCAGTGATGGCAGCTAAATGAACGAGAGATGGACATGCACAGGGGCCCAGTACTTGTAGCTGCCCTGGTAAAGGAAGTGCAGCCTCCAGCAGAGCGCTGGGCACAGGTGCTTGGCATCAGGACTGCTGGGCACCATTTCCAGGCCCTTCAGACTCCACAGCAAAAGCCCTAGGGAGGGTCAGGCTTGGTGGGCAGGCAAGGACTTGGGTTGGGACTTGGGGTCATCTACCTCGAATGGCGTCAGACAAGTTGGCAGTCCCACGGAGAGGGCTCCCGGACAAAGTGGCATGGGCCACCTCACAGATGACCTGAGAGCGGACGTCCCCAGGGGTCAGCACCACCTTGGCTGTGCTGGAGATGTTGTAGGAGACACTCTCTCCCTTGGGGTCCAGGCTGGTCTGGGAGTCAGGGAGCTGGTTCCCATTTTTGAACCACTTCAGGGTGATGTTCCGAGGGGAGAAGCCATGGGACTTGCAGGTGAAGCTCACTGTCTGTCCAGGTGTGGCCCTGGCTGCAGGGCCGGAAACCACGGGAAGAGAAGGTCTGGCTACAAAGGAGCATTTACAGAGATGTGATTGCAGAGCCTGCCCTGCCGTGCAGGAGAGATGCTATGAGTAACCTTCCCCCACACAGCTGCTATTAGTACTACTATACACCATTGTCATTATGACTACTACTGTTCTGAGCACCGAATCCAGGGCCTCATGCCTGCTACATCCCCAGACATAGACAGGACAATATTAAACCTCCTAATAAGGCTGGGAGGGTAGTGTCCTTAATCTGGTATTACAGAGGAGAATACAGAAGCTCCAGGAGGTGAGTGAGTCAGTAAGAAAAGCAGGCATAGGTCGACTCCAGGCTTGAAGTCAAAGTCCTTCTCTCTGCTCTAGGTGAACAACCAATCTGGGTACAAGAAGGAAATTACTGACTTGCCTCATGCTGTAGCCTGACTGGCCACCTAGGTAGGAGTGGTATGTATTTCATGCTGCAGCTGTGAAATGAGGCAAGGGCTATCTGGCCCCCTGCCTGCCTATCTTTCTTCCTTTCCTCTTCCCTCCCTCCCTTACTCCCTATTTCTCCCTCCCTCACTCCCTCCTTTTACCCCTTCCACCCTCTCTCCTCATTTCTTCCTTTCCAGGCTGCAGTAAGGATGCAATGAGGAGCTTTTGCATCACACCCAGGAGATGTTTCTCAAACACGAGCATGCACAAGCACATGCACACTCATGTGTGCAATTGCTCTTAACCAGAGTTCCCCTGCAGAAACATGTAACTCCCTCTAGATTTTTCCTTCCTTCCACAAACACATCAGAAGTTGTAAGCTGTGCCAAGTCATGAATTTGGAAGGAAGAGGCTAAGGTGTTTTGTGAATCTGGGGGCATCTCTTGGGTCACTGTGAGACTGGAAACACAGATCACTTGGATGCTGAGGAAATCAAAGGTAGTTCAGTTCTTGATCCCTAAGTCATTACAAGACACTGAGACCCAGGCTCCTGGGCAGGCAGAAAACACTCCTGATCCAAGCCAGGTGAGGTGGCTCACACCTCTAATCCTAGCTATTCAGGAGCCTGAGATCTGAGGATCATGGTTCAAAGCCAGCCCAGGCAGGAAAGTCCATGAGACACATCTCCAATAAGCCACTAGAAAACTGGAAGTGGTGCTGCAGCGGTAGAGCGCTTGCCTTGAGCTGAAGAGCGCAGGGATAGCGCCCAAGCCCAGAGTTCAAGCCCCACGACCAAACAACAAACAAACAACAACAACAAACAATCCTGATCCCAAATCAGAGGAGGGTAGCTTGCTGAGTAGACCAGTCCTAACGGTGTCTCCATATTGCTAATTATTCCCTGCATCTTTGATAACAGCTGCCAGGCAGCAAATGTCAGACATATTCCTATTTGTTAATATTTAACTGGCTCCCTTGCAGCCATCAAAAACTTCCAGGGTTCAAGGAGGAGGCTGACACTTGAGGAAGTCAGGCTACCAAGATGCAGGCTGAGACAAGACCTTGGAAAGATAAGGAGTTGTGAAGTTGTTCTTACATTCGAGCAACAGACAGAAAGGCTTTGAAGTTGTAGTGAACCTGTGCAGACTTTTCTCTTGTCATTATTCCCTACACAATATGGTATATATAAGCTATTTACTCAGCACTGGCACAGTATAGGATGTTACTACTCTAGAGAGAGTTTCAGGCACAGGGAGAAATGCCATAGGCTAAATGCACATTCTGGGCCACTTTCAATGAGGGGTTCCAGCATCCTTGGATTCTGGAATCTTCCACTATCCAGGAACCAATCTCCAGAGATACGCGAAGAGGGTACAGCTTCAGGAGTTCTTAGAGCCCAACACTGGCTGTGTTGTGCACTCACTAGCCTTGGGAGGAGTCTGAGTGTGGGCACCTTTACAAGGTAAGCGTCACACAGGGGTGGGGCTGGTCCTGGACATGTAGTGGGGAACAGGTGGGTCAGGCCACCGCACTCTGTTCTTATCTGTCTCAGCCTCAGTGCTGCCTTCTATTAAAAAAATGGTTACAACAAGCCCCCTCTGTCTCGGAAGCTGAGTAAGGACTAATCAGGGCACCGAGCCTGGTGTCTAGACAGTGCTTCATGAGGGACACCTGATTGCACATTCATTCTATTCTCTCTTTTTTTTTTTTTTGCCAGTCCTGGGGCTTGAACTCAGGGTTCTGGGCACTGTCTATAAGCTTATTTTGCTCAAGGCCAGTGCTCTACCACTTGAGCCACAATGCCATATCCAGCCTTTTGAGTAGTTTGTTGGGAGTCTTGTGGCTTTTCCTGCCCTCAGCTGGTTTTGAACTGTAATCCTCAGATCTCAGCCTCCTGAGTAGCTAGATTACAGGCATGAGCCACCAGCGCCTGGCTACACATTCATTCTTTGGGCAGCCAGAGGCACAACAAAACTGCCTAGACATTCCAGGACCTCTCCCCATCCTGCTCCTGCAACTGCTATGAAAAAAAAAAATTAGAAGGAGCAAAAACAACTCAATCAGGACCCTCTCCACGGATTGATAATCCTCTAGGAGCCAAGTATGCAGAATCGCTTTCTAAACACACACAGGGGCTCAGGCATTTCCCCCAGAGTGGCTGTGCGCAGACAGGAAGAACCCTGTGTCACTGCGGCTCGTGGAGGTGGTGGGGAAGGGGTGGGGAGTCCTCTGGGAAGAATGAGGGCTTTCTGGGCCTGTTCACACACAGAATATAGAGGGAAGATCCCACCCTGAGCCTGGGCCTGAGCAGGGCTCTGACTGTGCGGACCCCAGAGAGCTGTGGCTGGCATGTGCAATTCTGAAAGAGCCACTGAAAAAGGGTCTCTTGCCTTGCCAAGGGGTACAAACCCAACTTTCCCCACCTCTGACCTCAGGATGGGTGTGGATCTCAGAGGTTCTCAGTCCTGGCTGTCGTTTAGACTCTTCTGGAATAGTATTCAGATACCCACCCCCACAGCAGAACAAGTACAGCTGAACTCCCTGGGTGCAAACTGGGCCTGGGCTTTACTTCAGGTCCCCAGGTGGTTCCAGTGAGGAGTCAGGTGGGGAACCACCGACCCTACCTGTCCCATTGACTCCTGAGGCCCAGAGAGGGAAAGTGACCTGTCCAAGTCAGGTGGCCTCCGCCCATCAGAGCTCACATAGATGGGTCATTTTCTACAAGCAGGCATTCTAAATGCCAATAGCACTTCCGTCCTTCTGTCCCCATGCTTGAGGAGGGGCATCAGGGCCAGCTGAGGACACAGAGGCCCACTGTGTGCAGCACCTTGTCCCCACCTTGTCCCAGTTCACAAGCTGACAAATGGCTTGGGTGTGGGACTAAGCAATCAGGCCGTGACTCTCATGACCTCTAAACCCCAGAGGCCCAGCAATGACCCTGACACCCCCATGTCCTCTCCATCCTCACAGGACCCTGAATGTGGGCCATGACTTTCACCATCTTCCAGAGAAGGAACTGGACTCCACAGATGCTGACCCTCCGTAAGACTAGATGATGGACTTTCTGCAGGTTGGCCCTTCAGCAGGTTCTCTGCATCCACAGAACACTCCGGAAAGCAAGCATGGGAGGACTTAGAGAAAGAGCTGCAACAAGCTGCAGCGCACACCACACTGCCACCCCCTGCCACTCCCACCTCCCTTTTTCTTATCCCTTTAGGCCCGGATATGGCCAAAGGGAAGAAGCACTGGCTAGGAGGCAGCAGGCTGAGTTGTACCTGAGCCACCTGCTGGCTACAATTGCCCAGGCATGGCAAATCAGGACGAAACCATCTCTCCTCCATCTGGCTTAGTGAGGAGGCTTCATTTATAACAGAAGGGAAACGATATCTACATAAATGAAAATGAACCTAATATTTGCCATGGCTGACTTCTTGCAGTAAGTAGCATCTCACCATAACACAATTTCAACAGCTCAAGGTTGGGACAACTGAAGGATCCACTCACAGAACACTGCCCAGTTCATTATGACCTTTTCACATGTGGGAATACAATGCAGCTATGTGTTTTTTTATGTTTATTTTATTCATGGGGCTTGAACTCAGGGCCTGGGTGCTGTCTCTGAGCTCTTTTGATCAAGGCTAGTGCTTACCACTCTGAACCATATTGCCACTTCCAGTTTCCTAGTAATTAGTTGACGAGTCTCTCAGACCTTTCTGCCTGGGCTAGCTTTGAACTGTGATCCTCAGATCTCAGCCTCCTGAGTAGCTAGGATTACAGGCATGAGCCATGGGTGCTGAGCTAAATGTAATTATGTAAATGATAGAGTGGCTCTCTGTGTCCTGACAGGGGATCTCTATGTGGACTGAGGAGGTGGAGTAGCTTCTCCAGTCACTGAGGGCCTCAGGGTCTCCCTGGGAGAGGTATTCTGAGCCTGGGGAAGACCATGAAGAGCAGAGGGCTGGTGAAACCGTGGTTCAGCTCATGCAGTTTTTAGTCAGCACCTGCTGGGCCTCGCTTCTCTGAGATGGTGTTTAGTATATACGGTGAATATGGCTTAGACTCTGATCCTAGTTCTGATCCTGACCATGTCTGGGATTTGGCTCTCACCTGTGAAAAGGGGGTTAGGCTGGGTGTGGGTGGTCTATGTGTGCAGACAATCACAGGGTCAGGAGGTAAAAAGATCCCAAGCCTGACAAGAAACCTAAGGGGAGCATCTCTGCTGCCTTACCTGGCTCCCCAAGTCACCCCTATGAGAACTGAGCCTGGGGTGGATGACCGAGCTCTGCTCAGAGCCTCAGCACCTGTGAGAGCAAGTACCTAATGCAGGGTATGGACACAGAGCCAGGGCAGAGGCCCAACCTCCCAGCCCCTGCCAGCAGGGTGGACCTCAGCAGGGAACCTGAGCACCCAGGAGTATCCTCAGTGCTGCAAGTGAAGACAACCTGGGAGTGGAGGGACCAGGCACAGCTTAGAGGTAGCAGAGGCCCAGCTTGGGCTGCTTCCTGTTTCCCCATGGCGTTTAAAGCAGAGCCTGGCAGACAGTAAGTCCTCAGAGCTGGGGCATGAAAAAGACTTGGGCCACCAAGGAGAAGTGCTTCCTGGAGACAGCAGGCCTCATCTGACTTGTGATAGGAAAATCACTCACACTATCTGGTCTTTCTTCTTCGGGGGCAAGGGGTTTGGTTGTGGAGTAGGAAGACCAGGGCCAAATGGCCCCAGTGGCCAGCTGTGGAGCAGGGAGAACAGAGGACAGAGGTCCCCACTGGCCAGCTGTGGAATGCTACAGCAGGTCCTGTGCAGACCTGGGCCTCCCTGGCCCAGCGTGGGGACCAGAGCATGAACACCAGCCCAGCACCCAGCACTGCCCCTGCTTCTAGGCTGCTGCTCACAGAACTGAGGGTGTCATTCTGCACATACTGTCACACTCTAAGAGACAAAAGAAGCCGCACTGTACTCACCACTCACAGACAGCTCAGTGCCTGGTCCAGACTTAAACTCCTTGTCCCCCTCAGTGGCTGTCTTCTGGAACTTCACGCAGTAGTAGGTGCCCGCATCTGCTGGGGTGACGTTCCTGATTCGGATGGAAAAGTCCATGTTGTCTCTCTGTGTGGGATCTGAAACTGGTGTGACGCGTGGGTTGTGGGGTTCTTTGAAATGGAAGATCAGCTCCTGTCTTGGTCCTTTCCCCCTGAACCACTGGATGGGCCCCACAGGGAGCAGGGAGGTCACAGTGCAGCGCAGCATGGCCGTCTCTCCAGCGGCGACAGACACCGCCCTGTCAGGCTGGATCACCTGCAGCTCAGCTGCAGCGGTTCCTGGAGGAAACACACAAGTCATTCATCCTGACGGGGCCCTGGGAGGTTCCACAACTCTGACATTTACTATCCAAGCACAAACCAGGAGATGAACGTGAGCCCAGCACACTGCCCATGATGACAGTAAGCCCCCATCTGAGCCTGGAACACATGTACAATGAATGCAGAAACTGAGGCACAAAGTGCAGACTCATAAACTTTACAGACCACGATAGACAATTTGCCCATGAAGGTTTGTGACTTTAACTAAGCATCACTATCCCACAATACTGTGAAATTTGTGAATTACATAATCAGAATAAAAAATCTGCAAAAAGAAAAAAAAAAGGGCTGACTTTAAGTCACACAGGCAAGTGTGAGCTGATTGCCTGGGCCCTCTATCCAGATTTTGGTGGGTCACACCTATAATCCTAGCTATTCAGGAGTCTGAGGTCTGAGGACAGTGGTTCAAAGCCAGTCCAGGCAAAAAAGTCCATGAGAGGGGCTGGGAAGGTGTCTCAGTGGTAGAGCACTTGCCTTGCATGAATGAGGCCCTGGGTTCGATTCCTCAGCACCACATAAGCAAAAAGAAAAAAGCCAGAAGTGGCGCTGTGGGCTCAAGTGGTAGAGCCCTAACCTTGAGCTGAAGAGTTGAGGGACAGCGCCCAGGCCCAGAGTTCAGACCCCACGACCGGACCCCCCCCAAAAAAGAAAAGAAAAGTCCATGAGATTCTTACCTCCAAAGAAGTACTCAGAAAAGGCCAGAAGTGGTGCTGTGGCCCAAATGGTAGAGCAACTAGCTTTGAGCAAAAAGCAGCTCAGGGACAGCACTTAGACACTGAGTTCAAACCCCAGTACCAGCCCAAAAGTAGTCACCTCTGAGCTGGGGTTCAAATTTGTATTTACCAGGAAGGAAGAAGCTGGGGGTTCCCCCAGTAGAGGGAATATAGGGGAAAACACAGAGGTAGGACTCCACAAGGGGGAAGATTCTGTTTCCAGCCTGGACAACTGCTAGTACTCAGCAGCCGGAGTGGTAGTAGACTCGGAGAATCCCTATAGGCATGATCCTGTGCTGGGTGGTGTATGGCTGTCATCTGAGGCCATAAGAAGAACCCGGGGCCAAGTGCTGCCCTTGCCTGGGCAGGGTCTTTCATGGCGCTCAGCCTCAGTGCCCTCACCTGAGCCCACTCAGTACTAGTCCATGTCCACCTGTCTGTGAAGGGACTGAGTGCCAAGGCTGGGGAGTGTTGAGAAGCCACATCTGGCCCTGAAGGTCACCTGGCCTGGCTTGACACACCCCTGGGTCACACGTGACCCTAGTCTATCCATCTGGTTTGAGTCTTTGTTTCTTTTTCTCAAATGAGTGAAACATCCATGTGGACATTCTATTTGTGGGTGTTCTAGAATATCCAATTGAGGGCGCCCTGCCTTCTGCCTTGTTCTGGAAAGAAAACAAGGTCATATATGTAAGTCCCTCCATACAGAGATTACACAGGAGGGGGCTGATGCTCAAACTTCACCCCATAATCCCTCAATGATGCTTCTTGGGCCAGCTTGTATTTTGGGGACTTGTACAAGGACCCCATCAAGGTCTCCATGCTGGAGACCTTGTGGGTAGGCTCCTGAGCACCATAGGGAACCACTGGGTTCATGAAACAGGGACCCCCAGGTAGAGTGACTAGCGGGTGAAGGCAAGAACAGATCCAGGAATATAATGGGGCAGAATGGGGGTGATCGGAGCCATGCTATAGATGCCCAAAGGAACTTCCGTGGAAGCAAGATGGGAGGTGGTAAGAAAGGATAGATCATAAAGCCTTGGAGTCATTTATTTACCCCTCAGTACTTACGGCAAGAATGGGAGTGGTTTGTTTCAGGATCTCTCCTGGAAACCCAAGTATAAGCGAACTTAAGTCCCTAATATAAAATGCAGTACGTGCATATAATCTATCCCCATTCTCACTTTTGCAATATGTCACCTCTTGATAACTCAGTCATGTACGGCTCAATGACTGAGATGGTCATTAGGCAGTTTTATCATCGTGCGTGCACTGCGGCGTGCCTACACAATCCCAGACGGTCCGCTCTACTGCATACCTGGGCTGGTGGTGTAAACCACTACAGATGTGGCCCATCGTTACCCAGAATATCATTACACGGGACACCTAATGTAACACCTGACACAAAAGCCCTCATCCTGATCATTTAGGGAACAGTGGCTGGAGAAGTGTGTAGCTACTCAGCACAAATGCTAACTGCACTTTTGCTCTACGGTTGGCTGGTGTGGAAACCAGGGTTAGAAGGGCTAGTCACATGCACAGAGCTTAATACAGAGTCAAAGAGGGAGCCTGGATGGGGGCAGGGAGAATGAGGAAGACAGCAGCAGGTGTAGCAGCCTGGGTCCCCAGCTGGCCTCCTCACCCACCCCCAATGTGACCTTGTCCATCTGCTCCACAGCTCCTTCTTAGAAGGAAGGATGGGGGAAGAGTCCCTGGGAGGGTGTCCACCAGCCCACGGACTGCTCCCACTGGCGGGGGCAAGTTCCCTGTGTTAGGGTGGTCACAGGACCTTTCTGCTCTCACTCCTTCTTCCCACTGTCCTACCTCCTTCTACCTCCCAGCCAGGGCTCCCTGGAGGCTGGATTTTTACAGCCCACCCTGGAGGGTAGAAGTGGGGGATAAAGAGCATCTGGAGGGCAGGGCTCAGCCAGCAGCATTAACCCACCCAGAGGGTAAAGTTGCAGGTCAGGTACATGAAGGAGTACATGGCCCACCTAGACCCATGAAGGCAGAAAACTATCTGGGGACATCAACAGGAAGTCAGAATCATTCCATGAGTCCCACTGGATCAGGGGAGACAGTAGGGTAACAGCAGGCTCCCCCCTAAGCCAGCTCAACCCTTACTTCCTGGACCCCCATCCCACCATCTATGAAGTAGGTACATGCATGTCCCTTCCACAGCCATGAGGTTAAGTGGAAGTTCTGGAGTTCCTAGCCCTATTACGGTGACACAGCTCTATTATATACATAGACTTTTCTCCATTGTTCTAATCCCCCACCCCTAACTACTCTGGCGGGTCCTCAGGGACTATTTCCAGCCTCCAGCCTAGCACAGCACCAGGCACACAGTAGTTCCTCCACAAACACGCGCTGAACCAACACCCTGATGGAGACTTGCTGCGGTCTGTGACCCTGGTGGGTCCTCTGAGAGTCTCTGCCTTCCTTGGTTCAATGGAGCTCATACTGGACCCCAGGGTACTGAAGCTGGCTCCTGGTTATTATTATTCTTATCAATAACTGCATGCTGGGGATGGTGAGTCAGCAGCCGGCGAGGAGCACTGCGCTCAGGAGGGCTAAGGAATCCAGAGTACGAACGCTCCCAGCTCCCATGCAGGCTGCAAGTTGGAGCAGGGCTATTCTTGTGCAGCCAGAGGCCCGTCATCACACCCCAGGCAGGCGACAATAAAATCTGGAGTTGGGTAGGGCTAGCTCCCCCTCTTTCTTTTTTTTTATTTTTTTTATAGCTCCTCTCAAGCTCTCCACCAACTACAAGCCAGATTTAGGAAGTTTAATTAATTAGCTAGTGTTTATAAAGCGTTTGAAGAATTTTAAAAGTGCGACGTAAGTGCCAAATATTATTTTAATCTGGGTATGTGTGTGTGTGTTTTTTCCAAGAGTGCTTTTTCTTTCCTTTTCTTGCTGTCTTTTATTTTTCTCTACAGGTTCTGTTCTGGGAACTAGGTTTAAAAAAGAAAAAAGAAAATCACTCCTTGAGCCAGGTGCCTAGGAGCTCACGCTTACAATTCTAGCTACTCAGGAGGCTGAGATCTGAGATGATAATTTGAATTCAATCCAGGCAGGAAAGTATGTGAGATTCTTAGCTCCAATGAACCAGCAAAAAACTGGAAGTGGAGCTGTGGCTCAAGAGGTAGAGTACCAGCTTTGAGCAGAAAAGCCAAGGCCCTGATTTCAAGCCGTAGTATTGGCAGTGGTACATACACGCACACATGCACGCAATACACACGTAAACACACACACACACACACTGTTCCTGGGGTCCACCCCTAGGGTCATTGGTGCTGATGCAGCTCTCCCTGGCTGGCCTGGCAGAGCAGAGAACAGACCCGCAGGTGTGACCTGGCCTGGGTGGGTGTGGCCTGGCCTGGGTGGGTGTGGCCTGGCCAGGGTGGGTATGGCCTAGTCTGGATTGTTGGGGGGACATTATATAAGAAAGAAAACAAGTGGAGTTGCTCACCAGCCCCTTGCTGGGCAGGGTCACAAGGACCTGATCTCAGAGTGCATCACCGCTAAAACAAGAGCATGGAAAAGGACAAAAACAACCCAAAGGTTGTTAAAGTGACAGAATGGTTAAGGGAATGACAGCTTATCCCATATGGGAAATTAGGGACAGATATAAAAAACCATTACCACAAAAACCTTGGGACTGTGCATGTTTTTCATGGCAGAATTTTAAATAACATGGTGGTTATGCAAATAAAACCATTCCCTGCAAAGCATTTAGAGGAAACAAAAAAGTAGAAAAACAAAATAATAATCTCATATAATATCATCAAAGATAACTGCAATCAACGCTTCACCGTATCTTAGTTAAAATATGAGCCAATAAAAACAATGTAAAAAACATACCTTCAGATAGCTAAGGATATGTGCAAACATTGTGCTTCACTCACTTAAGATTATTCTTATTTAAAAAAATGGAAACTGAGAACCTCTACTATTCAAGAAAAGGAGACTGGTTGACTCTGTCCAAGGTCATTAAAATGGTGGTAGAGAGTTACAATGAAAATACATTCAAGTTCAGCGTTGTCCAGTGACAGAGTCAATAAAACCCAAGCTTCTAGTTTTAGTGGTGCAAAAGACAGTAAGGAGGGCTGGGAAGGTGGCTCAGTGGTACAGCGCTTGCCTTGCATGCATGAGGCCCTGGGTTCAATTCCTCAGCACCACATAAGCAAAAAGAAAAAGGCCGGGAGTGGTGCTATGGCTCAAGTGGTAGAGCGCTAGCCT